GTTTTGTTTGCAACTTTGAGATATAAAAGCCCTGCCTATTTGTTTTCTCCCCAAGAAGGGAAGTTGATGATTTGACAGTTATTCTGGCCTTTGACAATGCGTCTCTGTTCCCCTTTTTGCTGGGGAGATAACTATTCTTTTCCAAAACCCAATGGGTCGCCACAGCAAGGTCAAAAGAAGCCCCTCTGCCAGCAGGATGGGGGCGATAGGTCTCCGTTCTTTTCTCTCAGACTTTCTCACCTCAACACTTCTGTTTGACCACATCTCTTCTCTGAAGGAAAATCCCAGCATCCTTAATTGAATCGGCAGGAACACGTATTTTAGCTCAAGTTTGTATTTACTGATGTCAGGTGCACAAACTCAGTAATTGTCCAAGCTGGTGCCTCCTAGAATAGTCTTTCTGCCTAATTTTGACTTATTCTTCTTTTTGCTATTAATTTATATCTTTTTTATTGTGTTCTTATTTAAGGTTTTTCCAAATCCTATTTGAAGTTAGCAAATACACACACACACACACACACACACACACACACACACATACACACTAGAGGCCTGGTGCAGGAATTCATGCACAGGTGGGGTCTGGTTAACCTGCCCTGATGCGGGCCAATCAGGGCCAGGCTGGTAGGGGAGAGGGGCCATAGTAAGTCTGTGGGCCCTGCCCCTCTGCCCCTGATGGAGGGAGGGCCAATTAGGGAAGGGCTGAGGGAAGGAGAAGGGAGGAGGCCCTGCCCTGATCAGGCTGGTTGGCCAGCCACAGTAGTCATCATAGAGACCAGCCATTCTGGTCACTCCAGTGTTCCAGTCCCTGGCTATATATATATATATATATATATATATATTTGAAAACATATTTGTGAATGTCATTTTTCACTCCTTAAGAAAATTAGAGAAAATTTATAATGGTGAATATTCAGAATTTTTTTTAGTATCATAGAGTCTTGGTTCTAGTAAATGTTAAATTAATATATATGGAACTATTTGCATTGTTAATTCATATTCCTCTTATTTCTATAACTGTATTAGTCCACTGATTAACATTCTATCCATGTGGTTGTATGTAGGTTGTTTGTAGTATGCATGTGTGCATATAAGTAATATCTTGACCAGGTGGGATAACTCTAGCTCTGCTTACTATTCTCTAAATCCCTGCTATACTTATTTTGTCAGATGATTTTATTTCTAAAACCATTCTTATTTTCCTGAAATGCCCTCAAACTTTGCCTACATCCTGGCCCACCCATATGGTTTCTCAAATGTAAAGGAGACTCTGCTAAGGGTCACCTTTGCACGTTACAGTCGCTGCTGAATTATCTGATTCCTTGTCCTATCAATTGCCTGCATTCATTCTTGTATCTTCCATGTCCACTTGCTTCACATCTTCTGTCGGTCCTCCAATTCAAGCCTCTACAGCATCAGGACATAATCCTTCCTTACATCTTTCCATCTACTACTCTGCCATATCTCTCTGATTTTTCTCCACCTGTTTCCATCTGTTAGGGCTGCTGTAACAAAACACCATAAACTGGGTGGCTTATCAGTGACAGAAATTTATTTCTCACAGTTCTGGAGGTGGGGCAATCAAAGAGGAAGAGGCCCACCTATACCATGTCTACCCATGGTTATCTATTCTCTATGGGGTGGGGACAAACATTCAGACCATGCACCACTTGTGAACTCCTCTTGCTTAATACACATATATTTCTTTCCCTCCCCCCCCGCCATCTAGCATCCCCTCAAACACACATACTTCATTGTATTTCACTAAAGCTTCCATTTCCAAACCCATTTCTCTCATTCTTAACACAATAGATAGTGAGAGATTTAAGATTGGTACTGAACTTTGATAAAAATTAAGTTTTTCTTTGATATACTTAGTAGATGCTAGAGCTCAGGCTAGCCACTCAGCATCCCTCCCTAGGTGACTGGAGAAGCATCGGACCAGGCACATAGCAAAGTTCATTCTCTTATTAACCCAAATTAGTTCAAATATGGGAGTGTTAACAATCGTCCAGGAAGATAGCAACACACACAAAGCTATCCAGTGGGAGGAATGGGCCTTTTCTGTGACACCCATAGGTAGAATAAGGAGACATGAGGCTGTGGTGGAGTTTGGATGGGTACTGTGGATTGAGTGTGGGAGGAGGAGCTGGGCCCAAGATGTCAATATTTCGGTTAGAAATGAGCCAAGTGAAATGTTAAGAGAAAATAGTGAGAGATTTAGACGATTGCATCTCTAACATGGGCCTTGGAGTGTTCAACACTCTTCATTATCTCCCTGTTACTTCTAACAACATTACACTCCTAAAACAAACAGAGACCACTGACAATGTGGTTTGAACCTGTGTTCATAGGCACCCAGTCTCTACAAAATAAATTGCTCATCATTTTCTAGACCAAAAATATCCTTTCTCATTATGAGGTTTTTGGGTTTTTTTTTTCTTCCTGGTCTTCTTGTTCATATAAAATACCCTATCAGATATGACACATTTTGAAAATATAGTTACCTATTCTTGACTTTTTAGTTACCCCTTCTGGAGTAATTATTTCTGTACTACAAGAGGTTCTTTATTTTTAAAGGACAGATCACACATTACTGAGTTCTGTGAACATCTGTTTCCATGAATTTTTACCTCACTAGTTTATTAGCATTTCATGGTGAAGGAACACATCTTAATTTTTGTGGGTTTTTTTTTTTTTTTTTTTTTTGTGTGTGTGTGTGTGTGTGTGTGTGTGTGTGTGTGTGGATGTATGTGTGTGTCCCTCACAACCTAAAGAAATTGTGTGTTTAGCTTTCCCATGAATTGTGGACCAATATATAGCTTAAGCCACAAATGTTCCTAAGAAATACATTTTTGTTTTAGTTAAGGAAGCAATTCAAAAATCTGAGCCCTAGAATTCATGATTTTATAAAATTCTTAGTTAGTTACCTCATTATTAATCTAACAGAGCACTATCCTGAGAACAAACTGGGAAGGGCTAGACTCCTTACAAAACGCCAAGGGTTTGCAATGAGTCTCAGTATAATTAACTCATATAGTTTTTGCAACAGAATACAAAATGTGCCAGGGTGGAAAATATTACTTATCACTCTGGAAGGCAAGGTTCCATCACACTCGGGGAAATTTTGCTTTCTTTTGAGGTGCCCCAGCATTTAAAGCAGAAGCACAGGACAGGACGTGACCTGATTTATATTCTACTCGGTTCATTGAGAAATAGGTCCTCATGGTCATAGCTAAGAAAGTTAAAAGTTTTGGAGAGGGAAGTAATGTATATTTAATCCTAGTCATTAATTTCTTAGACAATATTTAATCTGTAAAAGGTAGGAAGAAGCCTGCATTTATACTTAGTGTTGCCATTGACCTCTATAAACTCTTTTTATAAAACCTAAGAACTTCCAATAGCAGAAGTGGATTTTAATACTTTTGTTACAGATTTTATAGGGACATCAAAAGACTTCTCTTTGATTTTGTTTTCCCTTAAACGTTGACACTACGCCTGAATGTCCACCATAAGCCAGGCAATAAGTTTCTCTTAAAATGCTTCATATTCAAGAGACAATAGGAGAGTTAATAACATTTTCAAGTTAGAAATGTCACAACAGACATGTGTTTCCATTCATAAAGTATGTCATGAACACATACAAACTATCCTTTGTCATCTGGTTCTGCCCCATTTCAAAAATTATTCTCTGCTATTAATTAGAAGTGACTACAATTTGATTAATCTCAAACATGTGTCACAGAGGAACAACGGGGAGAAGTGAATTCAATATTTTTCCACTAAGAGTATACACAGTATTCATTGAAAGAAGCCAAATATGTTTTTATAAACCAAAAGCTAGTATTATCACACTAACTGAGAATATTGTCAGTGTAACACATTCCTGTTTATTTGAAATATTACATTCACAGAAGAACTTAATTATAAAGCTTCTGAGACCGTAAATGCAAAATTAGGTGAACTTCTCTCTTTGTTTTCCTCCTAAACTCTTTTTCTGGAATCTATTTCTTCACCTTGAGAATGCACCTGATCTTGGTCCCTTTTTGATTTTTTTTATTTAACTCTGTTGGCAAAAGCTTCCCCAAACCTTCAAACTCACAGTAGACAAATCCACTTTGACTTAGCTGAGAGAAAGGAAAGTTTCAATTAACAAGTGGGGAATGTGTCTTTTGCTTAATTTGCATTATCATTATTATTATGGGATGTGTACTAAAACATTCCTTTTCTATCAACATGCTAATTAAATTTCTATGAATGCACTAAGCTCCCTCTAACCAGATTACAAAAGAAAAATCATATGATCAAGTAGTTGTGAGTTAAGAAACAATGATTCCATTTAGGTTTTTCTGTTCAACTTTCCAACAACAACAAAAAAATGTTTTTTTTTTCTTATTACACAGCCTGCAGTAATAAGTGAAATATAATCCTAATTAATTTTTCCTACAGCTGTGTATAAATCAATAGCTACAACATCCCAAAGGAAATGCACATTGCACCGTCCTCCAGGTTCCTAATGAATGCAAATAGAATGACCTTTTTCTGACAACTATGAATATTGTTTCACAATTTTACCATTAAAACCGCTGCTATCAGCAATTCATACAGCAAACAGGAAGCTACAATAGTTGTAAATAACTATTCATTATGGTGAGAAAGGAATGGAAAAACACTAAGTCTTCATTATGCAACTTTTAAGCCTGGAGTCTGATTTTAATACTTCATTTTGATATGAAAATTCTGTGTAAAATGTAACCGAGTCTTTATTTTAGTTCTCTATTTTGGAAAAAAAACAACAACACACAATTAAAATCACTCAGTTCTTTATGTAACTTAATTGATATTTTCTATATTGAAAGGTTTTAGTAAATAAAGATTTCTCAATCAGTACTATTGCAAAGTTCTGAATACTACATTCAAGTGTTAGAAGACTGTGGTTATAGTCCATGAAAAATACCTGGAGGAAAAATGTGCATAGAAAATCCTATTGTTGTACTTACCAAGACATACTGCTACTCATGTAATGAACATGATGAATTTAGAAGCTTTCCAAAGAGATAATGACATAAGGATGACACGTATGGGAACCTGAGACAAGGGAGAGAATAATTCAACTGCATTATTGTCCATTTTGACTGAAAAACCACTTTAATCCATAATATAACATAATGGTTTGTCCTCACACTCCATCCTGTTCTACTTCCCACAAAACGTCATCATAGCCATGAAGATGTCTCATTAAGTAAAAGTTAAATTCAAATTTTATAACAAAAGTAGTTAAGAAGTAAATAAAAGAAGTAGTTAATTATGTCAAACCTAATTCTGCTGATCATAGATCTACATACTGAAAACTCCCATTGGAGTTCACTAGAGCCAAGAATATAATTAGCCAGTAGAACTCAAACACTCATTAAAAATAGGACTCCCCAAGTTGCAACCAGTTTTTAAAAGGGACTCACAACAAGAGGACTTCATTTCTTTCTCTTTTTAAAAAATATTTTATTGACTTTTTACAGAGAAGAAGGGAAAGGGATGGAGAGTTAAAAACATCAATGAGAGAGAAGCATTGATCAGCTACCTCCTGCACGCCCCCAATTGAATATCGAGCCTGCAACCAAGGTACATGTCCTCAAGTGGAATCGAACCTGGAACCCCTCAGTTCATGGCCCCATGCTCTATCTACCAAGCCAAACCGGTCAGGGCAAGAGGACTTCATTTCCCTGAAATCCAAAAATCATTCTTCTACCCTCTATTCTGGCATTACATTTTATACTTCTGTGCAGGACCAGGAATGGCCATCACATGACTATGTGATATCCCAAATGTGCATTAGAAAGACATGGGTTTACCTAGGACATATTTATAGATATATGAATTCACTTTGGTAAGTAGTTGTTCCACCGTGGTAGCATAGCATCAACTTCGTATAATTCCAAGTCTGAGAGTTGTCTGAAACCCCTTTTAAACAATTTCTTGAAACAGTTAAGGAAGCATTTCTGTGACCATGCGGCCTTATCAGTCACAGAGAGCGTCTTCCAGCTGTGTGACACGGTCTCCACTCAATGACACCTTCCGAAGACGTCTGTGCTCTCACACCTGCAATGCTTTCCCGCTGAAGATGAAGCCATGCTACGTCTCACTCAATATCGATCTCCGAGGCCTTTCTCCCAGTCCTTTTCCCAGCGTGGTCACTGAACAGTATCTGAGTTCGATAGGAAGATCAGCTGCTCATCCACTTTTTTGCCAAAGCAATTTGTATTATGGATTTATTTTAGCAGTCTACAGTGGCAGTTGCTGTTTTTACTATTTAAATGCTTTGATTATCTGACCTTGCTTACTTTATCTTTCTAAGTGCTAGGCACGGGCTTTAACATTGATCAATACGCGGGGATTCCTCTACAGGATTACGTTGAAATCAATCTCAATTCAGACATTTTTCCTTCTTTTTTTATGTTTATTACTTGATCTGTCTTAATTGCATTCCTTATTGAGGGAATAAGTTTAAACACATACTTTATTTTACAGACCAGAATCTTCTCAGATCCACACATATTATAAAAATACCCTGTATTTTGTATGCATTATTTTATTCATTCCTATAATATGAAAAAGGAAAAGCTTAATTACTAGGTATTTTATTCAAACACCTTTGCATTATAAATAAAAAGCCTAGTCCATTAGGAGAAAAACATAGTTACATATATTTTAATAACTGAAAAATCTTGACACACATTAAAGTGCTATATTGATTATGATAACTGTGGAAGTTCAACAAGTGCTGGCTACACATAAATGTGCTTGTAAGACTTTTTATAAAACAAATTAGCACTCCATGAAATAAAGTAAAATTCTAAATATGTGTACCTTTAGAAATCAGTAAAAAACAAACCATAAACCTGTTGATTATCATAAAAAATAATATTTAATATGTATGAGAAAAGTTTATCAGCTTCACCCTCATTATTCAGACTGAATGTTTTATCCATTTTTTATTTTGGATTAAGAGAAGCAAATTAGAAATATAAAATGCTCTGAATACTTTTAAAATCAAATCTATGAATTTCAGAATCAATGATCTTAGAATAAAAATTAACTTCTAAAAGTCACTATTTAAGGCATAAACTTTATGGACTATGAATTATATAACCATTAAAACTTGTTCCTCGATTTTTTTTAATCTAGTTTAATCATATATCATATCTTCTGGGCTGGTGTAGTCATATGAAGCACCTGAATTTTATCTTTAAATCAATTGATTCTAACATTACATTTTTCAAAGTCATAAATAAAAGAAATCCAGGTGTGATTTTAATAAAAGGAATTGATGTCATTGTTTTTTAAAAACTTCCCATTTTCAAATCCAATCCAAGTCTAAATATATCCATTACCAGCTCAAGACTAAAATTACAGTGAAATATTTTCCAGATATCTACACTAGAATATAAGATCTACATTTGGCTTCAATGACCAAAACATTCAAGCAGTAAAAAAACTTGAGGTACATAAACATATGATTATACACAGAATATATGCAATATGCTCACCTGTGCAAATACATTTTTATCTAGACAATTGTTTAAAACTCTCACAGGACTATAGAAATATGACATATATTCTTTCTCTCACTCTCTCTATACAATTATTTAACACTCTCACATGACTATAGAAATATGACATATATTCTCTCTCTTTTTCACACATATATTTTCATACTTTGAACTTACTGGCCAAAATGATTTAGTATTTAATACCTTTCATTTCAGACTATATTATAGATTATTATTATAATAATTTTTTTCTGCTACTCACATTAAATGATATAAAGTATAAATGAATAAAAACAGTCAATCACAAGACAATGCATTTTCATAATTACCTGCGTGAAGTGAGGGTAGGAAAATTAAGGTTCCTGAACATAAAAAGAATTAGGAAAATATGAAGAAATTTAATTACCAAATAGTTGCCATAATGATATTTCCAAAACCTGTTATGAGCAGTTAGTTCCTTCCTACTGTTTGAGGCCAAATAGCATTTGAGAGAAATCCTTTTCCAGAAAGTTTTGCGTCTCTGTAGATCACAACCCTGGCCAGACATGTCCATACTTTTTTCCTCGAGTGGGTAAATGTTAAGAGAGAAGAATTCAAGTTTCATGATGCAGCAACACAAAGCTGGGAAGTGAAAATTATGTTGCAGCGGAGTCTTGAAAATATGACTGTAAAAGTTAATCAATAAAATGTCTATTCCTGTCTATTCACCGGAGGCCGCAGCTGCATAGCTTCGCTCAATCGATACTACAAATTATTACGATTTCCAGGTTCCCACTGGACATTCAGAACAAATCTTTCAAGTGTAACAGGCTTATACTGAGTATATGGCGTGTGTTCTCTGCATTTAGTTCGGAAAGAGGAGGGGGAAAATAAAATGTAAAGTCTCCGTGTTCTTTAAAAATTCCGCTTTATGGAACCAATAACTTACGGGTCATATTTTAATGTTAAAAACAATCTTGCTTTTGGTTGCCAATTTTTTTGTGTGTGCTTCTTTTTTTTAACTGTTTCTTATTTAGTTAATACACGACTTAACCTGGCCAGTTCTGAATGGCTATTCCAAAGTGATGACTAAAAAAAATTACCCTGATATAATTACTTATCACAAAGTCACTTAGGCCCAAAGATAAATGCAGAACCCTGGTGTACATCTCAGATTGCATCGGGTATCTTAAAATACATGTTCATGTTATTATTTTTTATGACTTAGTCCTACATTTTAAAAATCAGGTTTCAGATTTTTCCCTTTCTTTTTTTGTAAAATAAAAAACATATAATTTCAGAAATAATTTTCTCCTCTTTTGAAAAAAAAAAAAAGTCCCAGAATATTTTGTTCTACTGCGATCCTCTGTTCTTAGCAGGAAAAGTTGTAATTCTAGATTCTGAACTCCGGAACCCCTCAAGCCTCTGACCTCAACGTTATGCTCCATCCATTTCCCTCTGCATCCCTGCATCAGAACCCCAAGACTTTTCCAGTTGAGGGGGCGGTGGGGTAGGGGACTCACTACAGGACTGTCCTGTCTGTGACACCTGAAGTACCTTTTCTTTCTTCCAAGTGGTACACAACATGAGGTCTGGCACTGCCCAGGACGGAATCAATTGGTAAATTTAATCAATTCATGTCACCTGTCGATTGAGTGAGGCGAAAACGTAAATAAATAAACCAACTTTTTTGTTTGGTAGGCCATAAGGCTTTCACTTTATTTCTCATTTAAAGAGTGTTATATATTTTTCATGGTAAGACACATGTACCTAGTACCAACATATCCTGTGACAAGGTATGTGGAGGCTATATTTTAAAAGATGAAGCTGTTTCTCCTAAGACACCATCATTGCTTTGATGATAACCATTTATCTCTTTAAAATTCAGCCATAACTTTTTCTTATAACATGTCATAATAATACAGGGGTGAGCAAGAGTAACTGTACAGTTGTAAGTATGCAAAACAGTTTATTTCGACATTATTACTTATTCATGATTATATTATTTTTTTTTATTACAACTGTTAACATACTTATGCCTACCCTGTTCTTAAAATTTTTTTACCTTTAAGGTACTTAATTGCTTAAAACCAATATAAATAAATTTTTGTAAGTTTGATACAATTTTAACTACTCTCTTGCATGAGAGGTATATGCTGTGCTCTCAATTTCACATTAAGAGAGAATATTGTACTTACTATCACGATCAAGCTTTATCGGAAAATAAAATGGATGAATCTAGATCAAGCATAGAGAAATTGAGTTTGAATTTTCATTGTAATCTAACTGGATGAATCACTGGTTTATTTACTGATAAAATTTAAGGTTCAAAGCAGGTCATTACTTGCCAGTTTTTAGATCAAAGATGATATTTTTTTGTGGGTATACAGAATAATGTACCTCTCTAGTGATGTTTAAGTGCAGGAAAATGTTGGCTTTATTTTAATAACATTAAGTGAACATCACACACTGTCAGTTTTATATTAGTGTTCAAAACCATTTTTATATATTTTTTGTTCTCTAAATATACCTTAAACATATTATTTTCTAATACAATTAAACTTTTTAAAAAGACAATAGTATTTATAACAATACTATATTACATAGCCATTCCAAAAGACACTTGCCCAATATGCTTTTCATCCTGGGTACAAATGTCTACCTTTTAATATTTGTTAAATGTGGCTTTTTTTGTTGTCTGAATTCTGGCAGCTGACTAAAGGAACATTAATTGCAAACAGGGTGTATCTGAGTGTTTAATTTTATTTAGAAGCATGTAAAATGTCACCCTAGATTGTGAAATTATTTTAGTGCCTTATAACATTAAATCATGAGATTAAAACACAGAAATAAATTCCTCATGAACAATTTCAAATATTTTACCTTTAACGTTACAAACTATAAATCACAAAAGAATTGTACTTACGTTCATCACACGTAATATTTTGAAATCCTATTGATAGATACATCAAAATATGCAGTAAGTCATGTAAGTTTAGAAGCTGGCTTCCAAAGATCATTGAATATCAAATGCACATTTTAATTTTGGCCTCAGGATTGTGTTCAAAGAGATGAGTGGCAGGGGGGAAAAGTTTAAATGCTGTGTTTTATTTGACTGTGATTACTCCATGTAACCAAAGTTCGGTAAGTAAAGTGTAATTTTTAATAGAGAGAAAGAGAGGGAGAGAGGAAGATTGATTCATCTGGGCTATGCTACTTTTGTAATTATTAAAATAAAAAAAAGACTAAAAAAATCAAGCAAAAATCACAGAGCATAAGAGCACTTTATCAGAGCACTCAAAAATGAAACCATATTATGTTTATTTGAAAAGCAAGTGATAAAATCTGAAAACATCAGCTCAGGTCTAATAATTGCATAAGGATTTAGATGAAAAAGGTTGAATACAAGGTGTCTCACTAAGAACAGCTTTCTGGAACCTTTCAAAACAGCACGGATCTTTATGACTTTTCTTCATAGTTCCTTATGTGCCTCCATCGTCTGACCCAAAATTCGACTCTCAGCGTCTCTCAGTTTAATAGCGCCTTGCTTAGAGCTGCTACTTGAACAAAAAAGAAAGGCAACAAGAGCCATATGTAACCTTTGGACTCCAGAAACAGAAAGAGAAGACCATTGGCAGATAGATGCTGCGGAAATGCTGCCTTCTCTCTCTTGCTCCTACCTTGAGCCTTTCTTGGTCGTTAACAAGAAAGCTGACTGCCACATCGTTATTTAGAATCTGGACTATGACAGTTACAAGTTTCAACATGTGCCATTTCAGTTAAGAAACATTGCAAATTTAAAGCTTATCTGTTTTGGAACCAGCAATTCCTTGAGCAAGCTAGCACATTCACACACAACCTTTAGCAAGACACGGAGAGTTAACTATTAAGCCACTAAAGTCACCCAAGGACTGCCTTGATTTCAGTACGCAAAGTAAAACTTTCTGAAATACTCAAAAACAACTCACTTGCAATCACTTTTTTCTTCTTCAGAGGCCATAATCCTTTCTGTCACTGTCTTCGGCTCTGCCTGGGCTTTTCTACTGTTCTGTTCTTGGCGAACTGTTTCTGCTATTTGCTCAGTTAGCTGCTCTTGAGTAGCTTTCAAGCTGGATTCCATTAGAAGAAGTTTTTCATCTTGACTGGCAAGTTCTTGGGCTGAAAGATAAAACAAGAACATTGCCGCTGAAAAAGCCAAGAGCATGGTTTTTTTCCCCCCCTTTTTGTTTTGGGTTTAAATCGTATGCAATGCAACTTTGACGAAGATTTAAGCAGATCCTTCTTGTCAAAATACAAGCTCATGCCT